TTGTTTGTTGTTTGTCTGTTAGTGTCTCATTCCTCCCACCTGTCTGAATGTGTCCAGTGCATCCTGAAGATGTTCCAAGTAATGTTGCAGCTTTCCGACCCTCATCAGCTGCACTCCATGCACCGGGTGAGGATCAGGGTAGTATCGTCTAGACCAGAATACAGAGAGAGAGAGACATGAGAGTTACAGTAGTGCATTCTGATGGCTTGTTAAAAAATGTGTCCTCTCACTGTGTTGCAACTACCACAAAGATATCTCAATTAAAGGAAGAATGTGCAACATTTTACACATAAATATAACAGAAATCAAATGTCTCTCTGAGTCATGACTGTCTACGATGAGTGAGAAGCCTGAGTCCCGCCAGCTGTATTGTTGTTAAAGCCGTGTTTACATAATAAGCATAAAGCTGTTTTAGTGAAGGACTAGAGAAAAGAAGAATAACAGTCTACTCACTGCTCATTTGGGTGTCACGTCAGTGTTGTTAGATCACAGTCATTCAGTGTCACTTTATGTGCAATATGAAGCTACGAGTTTAGCAAAGTGTTCTAACACAACACAACAATGCAGGCCAAAGGCAATTTTAGTTCGAGCAAAGAAATTTTTTTCCCGCAGCTTGCGCTTAATGGTGCTTAACTATGGTGAGTTTTAATTCACTCCTTTGTGTAAATGAGAGTGGAGAGGGGGGTTGGAGGTGTCTCGCAGGAGTAGGGTGGAGGATTCAGAATAGCGGAGGTGTCACCAGACAGAAGTTTGTTTTGGTTTATTGTTGGTGCTCAAGGGCGACATCAACTGGATCAAAAAGTCGCACACACTTCCTTTAACAAAACTAAATATTAAAGCTTTTAGCTCTTTAATTCTTTGAGTGTTCTTTGTGTTGTTAGTGCATTTCTCATACAACTAACAAGCTGCTTTTATTACTAAAAATGCTAAACAATTTTTAATGTGCTGAAAACACAACATCCTATATAAAAAAAATATCTGTAAAAATCCAACAGAGACTTATATCTGATAAAACATTACTTTGACCAGGATGTCTTCTTAAGCTGCTTAGTTATGTTGCTGTGAATAACACTGAAGATGGAGGCTCAGGTCACAGGATCTTAAAGGTCCAAACTGTAAGATATCTACTGAATTAAATCATAAAATGACTTTAGGAAACACACACTTCAACATGTGTTGCACAATGCAGCAGCCAGTGTGTCCTTTTAAGTTTCAATTTCAGTCTGGAATGGTTTGTTTTTGTTTTCACCAGAGAAGTAGGCAGTTTTAAGGCACCCCCACATGGTCATTTTGGATGCCCCATGGTTTGCCAGGCAAATGGTATACCAACAGATGATGCAGCGATGAAAGCGGGCAAACAAACTGGTTCAGGTATAACTGATTCTACCCGACCTAAAATGCCTCGTAATTCTTCTAAGCTCTCTGGCTTTACGTGGTAAAAACTAGGATAATTACTGGAGATTCTTTTGAAAAATGTAGAGAGGTTAGAACGCAGAAAGGTTTCAAGACCGATGCAGAGCTGGATAAACACTGAAGCTTCCGTGTCCGTGACTGGGAAACCTGCGTTTACTTCGACCCTAGGGAGGAGGGGGCAGGGGGAGACAGCTCTCTAATGTTTTAATTTGGACTTCAGTACCCATTTTCAACACTTTGTGTGAGAGTTACATGTTGCTCCTTTAACAGGCAAAATGAAGTAGGTAAGACTTTCTTGCAGCTCCGTTTGGATGGCAGCTCCTACACATGTTTCCTCATGAGTCTCCAGTTCAACTAAAGTCCTCGAGCTTCTTTCTTGCACCTTGGCATGAGATTTCCCACAGAAGCTTCACAGCTTGATGCCATGATAATTGAGGTGCACTCCTCTGGTCTCATTTGTTAAACATGGGCACCTCCACAGGCACTGTCCTTGAACTCCACAGGACATGAAAATGACGAGGAAAGATTTTGGAATGAGGCTTTGTACTAAGAATTTTTATTCTGTGCACCTCACACGTGTGGTGAGAGTATGTATCTGTTACTATGTCTAGGCAGCCTTAAAATGTCCCTTAAAGCAACTTTAACAATATAAATTGTCACAACCCAGGCTCTGGGAGTTAGACAAACAAGGGGACCACACAGTTTTAAAGTTATTTAAGTGACAATTCATTGAAAACTAAGGCAAAATATCCTAATATAAGAATATGCAGTCTGTAAATCAGTGGTGATTTCAATGGTGAATGTGTGTGTTGTGGAGGCTAATCAAAGCTCACAAAACAAAGTTAGTGTTGACGAGAGAGAGACAGAGAGAGAGAGAGAGAGAGAGAGAGAGAGAGAGAGAAGCCAGCTTGCCCTGGTGCATTACATCAATTTAACTTGCTCCACCCTTTACTACCTGAAGGCAACCTGAGTGGGGAGCACTGTTGTCCCAAAATTATAAAGTGTATACTCAAAAATGCACGAGCAAACATTAGTATGGTCTCTGAGCAACAAGACGGAGGATTTAATGGACAAGATTGAATAGTTGTCTAGTATGATGCATTTATAAGTAAGAGAACATTTCTTTTAACAATTAGATTATAAAAAAAAAAAAAAAATCATATGTTTTTTTTTTGCATGTATTTTTATACATGTGAAAGCTTGCATTATTCATGTCTCCATTTTTGTTGTGTGAATATACCTGCACGAGCATGTGGGTATGTCTGCATATGCGTGTGCTTTGCATGTTAGTGTTCAAGCCCTTTCATTCAACACATTTCCATTTCCAGTGTCACAGTTTTAAGACAAACAAGCACAACCCACACTGCAGATATTCCCATGATAACTGAAAAAGAAAACTTGCAGAAAGACACAGTTACTCATATCTATCTATACTCATTACACTTGAATATTCTGCACTACTTGCTCATATGTGCACTCATACAAACACATACAGTGTATCTGTATGCATGAATATATTGTTTATAATGAGCATGCTGTCAGCTAGCAGAGAAAAAAAAAGCAAAGATGGAGGAAATGTTGCTCAGCATCTCTAGAGTTCAAGGTTTTGATCAGTGTTGAGTATCCATGGTGACGGAGCAGTTCTTATCAGCCTAATCAATAATTTTAGCATTAGCGCGCACATACACACACCTACACACACAAACACACACCTACATACACACACACATAGACACACACACACACACGCAGGAAAACATCTCATCTTTCTATGTTTATTTGTTTCAGCCAGTTTAAGGAAGTAAATGTAAAACACAGCTAACAATGAAACAGCTAATTAGACTCACATTGAACACTAAACTTAATGACCTTTGAGGACACAAAGCCCACCCCACACAGCACATGTATAAATAAAGAGGTTGTTACTAAACTGTTCACACACAAACACAAAGATTGTTAAGCAAGCTGCTTTGTTGTTCCTAAACTCTGAAGTTATCAAAATACTCATTTACCTGGCATGCCATTTATCCTCTTTTCTTCTCCATCCCTTTCCCCTAATCTCTTCTTCCTTTTTCCTATTTCTCCTCTGCTCCTACCTGTTTGTGTTTGTGCTTTTCGCCCCGCTAGCTGCAGGGATTAAAGGTGGAGCTGTCTGTTGGTTCCTGCTCTCCTCTGCAGCACACCATTGATTCCTCTCCTCCTCTTTACCTCCACTGCCCTCTTAAGTTTTCCCCCAGTTTGTTGTTCACTATCTCTGTTTTCACACGGTTCACTGGAAAAAAACATTTTTATTTATATTACTGCAGCAAAACTTCATCTAAACGCCTGCTGGCAAAGCACACAGGGGCACTAACCCTTCTCATGTTCCATTTCTTACCATGCTCATTGTTTCCCTCACAGACACAAAAACAATGAGCTGAACACACACACACACACACACACACACACACACACACACACACACACACACACACACACACACACACACACACACACACACACACACACACACACACACACACACACACACACACACACACACACACACACACACACACACACACACACACACACACACACACACACACACACACACACACACACACACACACACACACACACACACACACACACACACACACACACACACTCCAGCATTAATGTATGAGCAGGCCCACACAAGGATATGGTCAATTTAAATTCAACTACTTAACCCAATGTTTTTCACTTCTCTGCAAAGGTACCACAAGACAGGACGACTTACTATGCCATCACTCTGATCAAATGTAAATGTAACCACTGTTGAATATTTGTGCTGACCACAGCCAGTGTTGTTTCAAGCTCTGGATGCTCTTTGATAATTTTCCAGCAGAGTTTTTCCCTCACAATACTAATCGCTCATTTGTTCAGACCCTCAAGCTAAGCTGAAATTGCTAGCCTTCCAATTACAGAGGTTGTATCAAAAGCTGTGGTTAAAACTAAATCATTAAACAGTAAGTTCAAAGACACAACACACAGCATTAGTCCTCCATGAATAACCACAAGTTAAAATATTGATTTAATTACCAAGCCAGTGATTCAGCCATGCCATGACATGCAAACATACTCATCAACACCAAACTCCAATTAGATTTCCTCTTTGCCTATAGAAGCACAGAGCAATTAAAATAATTTCATTATCTCGCTGTCTCATAAATTCATGTTTGTTCCTGAGAGAGTAAATTGAAGAGAAATATACGGTCATGCTGTATGCAGCTAGTTAGAAAGCCATAGCTCTCGGCTATGAGGGTGCAGGATGGAGAAATTAATAGATGTGGAAAAGTGTAACATTTCCTGGCAAATGCAGTGGAACTAATGAGGCTCTTGTTTGGCAGAAAAGATCCACAGCCTGCTGTTAGTGAGTGGGAAACGTGGATTATCTAACTAAGTAGCAAAACAGAGGAAGGAGAACAAAAACATGGAGGACAGATTAGCTGTCAGTATTCTCCTTAATTGTATTTCGGTGTTTTATCCAATGCAAATTATTTCTATACATCCACAGTTAAAAAACTAATCAGCACTATGCAACTTTTACTAAGACAAAGTTAAATAAACCCTAAACCACAGTTCAAATCCACATTACTGGAGAGTCTCTGACCACCCCATAGTGATATACAACATCATATACAGATACAACGGCTTGCTTACAGCTAAACACTTCACTTCCCATGAAGCCACAACCTACAGGGTTGAAAA